AAGTTTTTTTTATTTTTAATTTAACCCTTTCAGACAGTAACAGTGACTGACAATGATCAATGTCGATTTACGGATTTCGACGGTGTATCGTTTCAGGACAGAGTTAAAAACAAACTGAACAATAAATTTTTTAACGAGTTGCATCGAACGAAAATAGAGGTTACGGGCGTCGAGAAGCGTCCGCGAAAAAATGAAACGGAGAAACAAAAAGCCTTAGTCATCGCGAGTGCCACGGGCTCGCTGTTGCAAATTAATGCGATCCGTCATCGACACCGAGGGATCTATGTTAATCTCGTCGCTCGATCGCTCGGAGGCTTTCCTACGCCCACGGTCGGTCCAGTCTGGACCATGTCGAGCTTAGTCTGCATTGGACCTAGACTGTTCTAAGCCTAGATTCCACCGAATCTACTCAAGGCCTGACTCTACCTAGATTTTGACAAAATTTGCTAGATAGAGTACTCTAAAATATTATATGTATAATACATTGGGGAATTGGTGGAAGATGTGTTGATCCTTTTTATTTTAATATTCAACTTAATTAAGATTTTGATTGCTAGCTACATTTCAACAGATTATACACTCCTTATTCCATGCAAATAAAATAAAGTTTCCCTATGTTACATTCATATTTGAGGGGTGAAAACTACCCCCAAAGTCGTAACTGGAATACCTGTCTCTCTAAAAAACTAATGGACGCTAAAAAATATAATTTCTCGACAATCTCACAAAAATTTTACACAAATAAAAATTTCACAAATAAAAATTTGCAGTGACTTCCACCGAGTACGATTCGACGGACTGTTTGCGCCGCGTCGACGGAAAAAACCAGCTCGTAAAAGCTTTTTTTCGACGTCGGTTCGGAACGATCGCGCATTATTATCGATGATTTACGTCGCCGTGATCGCGTATTATTTTATGACGCGTGCAGAAATATTACCCGTTTTATTAGAGCCCGCGCGCGAGAGACGGAACGGCGTCCACGGTGCCGTCGATGTTTGGCAAACAGCGAAACCGCGAATAGGGGCCACGTGTTAGCTGCAGCGGGGGATCGTCGCCCCGGAACGCGATACGCTCGTAAAATTCGCGGAGTCCGCGTTATACGACAGCGAAACGCTTACAGCTACCGGGGCTCGTTCATCGACGTTAAATTGCAGCCGCGAATTAAGACCGCGGCGAACCGACAGGCGCAGGTTCCCGCGATCCGCGAGACTTTACTTCCGTAGGTGTTTGGCAACTGATAAATCTATAAATAACAGCACGTGCCACGGAGAACGACGATCTTTGGTAAACAGCTGCCGAGAGAATCAGATTATCTACTCCACTTCGGGATCTCCGGGCAAACAGAATTTTATGAGGGAATTATATTCGAACGGCAAAGTATCGCGATCTTATTTTGGGACATAATATAGAATTTTTATTTTAAATAGCAACAACGAGGTCGAGAAGAATAAATTTCCATATGCTCGTTCGAAATAAATTTAAGATTCAAACGAAGCGAATTCAACTGAAAAATTTGATACTAAAAACCTTTGTTTACAAACGTTACACAGTGCAAAGGCCCACCAGTAGAATTGCAGAGTCGAGTGTATCTTTTTTGGACGTTAAACGCGAATTGGGTCGGTGCGAGAATTGAATTTGGCGCGGCGGGTGTCGAGCGTCGCGAGTCGCGCGATATCTCGTATCGAACGGACCCGCGAATCGATAAGAAAGTTTATCGCGCTGGGCCGCGACGTCTGTGCAATTTTACGCGCAGCACGACAATCGAAAATACGCCGGCGAGCACGGCCCGTCGACGCCCGCAACCCGTTCGCTTTTATTGCGTAAATTATCGACGTCCATAGGCGTAGGCGCTCCGCAAACGGAGGCGCGGTCGCGCAAACCTCGATGGAAATGAATTTACAACGACTCGTATCGATCGCGGACACGATCGAACATCCGTGAAAATTCCTAGCATCGACCAGACGTGGACGGAATTTAATTTTAACGACACACCCGTTGCGTTTTATTTTTCAAACGGTCGTATTGTTCTTAAACACCCTCGTCATACGGTGACAGGGTCTGACTAGCGAGTTCTTTCGACTAAATTGCACTCGTCATGAAATGTTATTGAAATCATTTTCTTGCATATTTAATATTTGTAGTAGATTTTTGTAATCTCGTAGAAAGAATGTTTAGTGACTTTGCTGATGGACATAATTTCCTACGAAAATAAGTTGTAATACAATTTTACTACTACTTTAGAATACGATGATAAAACTGTTCCTTAATCTCAGTAATTTGTGTAATTAATAGAATTCTTCTCAACTAGTATTTAAAGTATATTAAAATTAAACTGTTCGTCAATCCCAATAATTATGACTGAAATTAATATAATTTGTATTATTAAGTAGTATTGGTAATCCCAACGAAACAAATAAGGCAATTATTTATTGTTGCACGAATAAATATACAGAATGGGCGTTTCGGTATGGAATAAAACTCAATTTGGCTTCGATTATCGTCAATTATTAAGCTCGAGACGCGGGCCCGGAATGTAGGACAAATCGACGGCTGGAAATGAAATCGCGTCGCCCGGTACAGAAACCCATTTCGTAACCGCTTTCCTCGTGAATGGAGCACGAGAAATTCGAACGATACCGATCGAGAGACGCGAATCATAATTATCTAAATTTATCGCGACCGGGGCACACACGCCGACGACCGACGTGCGCCGACCACGCGCTCGCGTGTCAACGATTTATTTTTGAAACGAGCTATGTCCGCCTCGTCGAATAATTGTAACAGTGTCTACCAGACGGCCCTGTTTTTACGACCAGCCTAATTTGACACGCGATCCGGAAGAAATCGACAAATTTCAACTCGTCCGTTAAACGATCGCGACTATATCTCTTCGTGTGTATAAAATATAAAAATAAAATATTTTGGGGCATAATTATTCGTTGGAAGATCACTGATGAAGAATTTAAATCGAAATCAAAATTTAGTTAACCTTTTTCCGTTTCTGTTGGGCGATTACCTCCAGAACTTGCCACCAGAGGGATCGTTCTCTCGCAAGTGCTCGATATACGCTCTTCGATCGACTACCCAATATCATGACGTCTAAAATTTCCATCTCTCATCATCATGACCCCAGAGAATCGTCTTTGGATCTCAAGGAAGTCATGAGTTTTGAGAAACACCGATGGTGGATGAAATGAATTCGTGACCAGAGATCGTAGATGCGTAGATCGAGGCGACATTCGGGTAGCGAGTCGTTTAATTCTCGTTTGGGTGGTTTCGAATGGCTTTAGGTGGCATAACTGTGAATTCGTCCGATCGAGGCTATAAATGCACCCAGGCGATGCTGTCCCAACCTTTCTCCTCGAGGCAGCTCGATGCTGGAAGGAGCAACGACGCCGCCCCTCCCCCGCGAAGCACCGTGCCCGGCCAATTAATTCGTTATTACCGCATTGCTGGCCCGTAAGTCACGGAGGGTAATTACCGACCGGTAATTTCACCGCTGTTCAGTTACGCTTCGGATAATGGATACGCCGTGGAGCCTTTCGGGCAACAGCTATCCGGCGATTCGGTCACGCCGATCGGACACCGATCTTTTGTCTCTGGCTCTCCTCCGATCGTGTCCTCGATCCTCTCGCGGATCCACCTTCGACGATCCCCGAGTTTCACGCTCCGATCGCCTCCTATTTTATTTCACCCTGAATCTCCCGTTCACGGGGGGTTGGAACAGTTACACTCTCTTAAAATGATCGAAACGGGGGACCTTTGTAACGACTTATTTTGTAAAAATTTCCGAGTTATGGATGGGACACAGTTTTCGAGAATATAACCTCGAAACAGTTCTACGTTGAATGGAATTTTGGAGAAATAAAGAAAGACAGCCATTTTCTATCGAGTTCGAATAAAAATTCTAAATCAAATAAAATTTAGGAGAAACAGACAGAAATATTGTGGAAATAATAAAGAAAAAGTTCCAGCTATAAGTTCCGAATACATCCACGGCGCCGCCATATTGAAAACATCAAATTTCTGCTTACTTTCGTTTAAAACGGAGCTACCAGTACATGAAACTTACATTATGCTTTACGTTTACGATTAGATACGCGTGTTTAGTGGGTGGACTAGCGAAAATGGCGATCGTCGGGTGAAAGCGAGCTTCCGGCGCGAGCGTTTAGAGATTATTCCGTTTAAGGACGGAACGTATTAAGTTGTTCTTTTTCGCGTTTCTGCGTTACCGCTAATCAAAGGCCAGAAAATTACGCGTTTCCTGTCCTTCGAGCTAATGGACGGTGATAATTATTCCGAGCGAGCAACCCGATATCCTGATTAGGGGACCGCGTCGATCGATATAATGCATTAGACGGTGTACAGCTAATTGAGAAGCGATGGGATCTCATCGATCGATCACTCGAGCGGATCGCGTACGAGCGTCAACGGGCGCGGGAAGACTGGAGACGTCGAAACGCGTCGATGTTGTTCGAATAACTTGGCAACGGAGGCGCGATTCCCGCTTGGAATATCGTCGGGGCCTCGCGGAAGCCCGTTTCCGGTTCGCCGTTATCGCGACGGCACTTTCTTCCCGCGAATTTTAATCGAACGACGAACAAAACAGTCCCGTCCAGTCGTCAGCGATTTTATTCCTCTACGAGCAGGAATTTTCTGAATAATAAAACTGGTATCGTTGAAAATCGAGGCTGCAACCTGGATGAGAAAAGTCGTTTGAGAATCTCAAGTACGATCTACGAACGGAAGAAATAAATTACGTTGGTAGTTCGTAGATGCTATCGGCGAGGATACAGCTGTTTTTTGCTGGTTTTTTAGCCTGACAAAATACAGTGTTCTGCAATGTATTCGATTCTTAACGTGAGCAAGTAAAATTTGTGTAATTTTATTTATTTTTTATAATAGAAATTGCGTACTCGTGTCAAAGCTAGCCTGTGTTATGGATCGAAAACGAGAAATTCTTGAGTTTAGGCTAGCGTTTTTCGGAGCTTCGAACTTACCTCCATGTGTGTGGAGAAAATCCTGAACACGTTTCCCCGCACTGCAAACAGGGCTGGCCCTCTTCGACGTCCGTGATCAGGACACCCTGTGAACCAAGAAAAAATTGGTGTTAATCTGTCCCTCGATCCTGGATCCTTTCAAAATGGAGATTCTCTTGCATTACAAACTAAAGAGCGATTTCAAAGGCCTCACTCGAGGGTTGGATGGGGACTAAACACATAAAAGCATATTTGGAATATTTTAATCAAACGGTAAATAATCAAGTTTGCGTTAAGTACACGCTAAGGTGCGTTTAGAATGTAACGAATGGAACGTGGAAGATTCTATTCCACGTTAGAAAGTGATTATAATTTTCGATGAAGATCACGATTACGATTACTATTACGAAAGGAAGAGAAAGACACGTCCAAATAAGGATCTACGCTTGAGCAACGATTCGATAAGGATAATCGTCCTCCCGGCGATATCAGGTCGCGTTAATTGCAAAATGGTGAAAGGTCTGGATCATCCTCGCAAATGTCAGTCGCCGAAGGCGGCGGATTCGATGAATCCTTGATTCGACCTAACCGGAGCCTTTCGTTACTTCAGTTACGAGAAGATCGAAATGCTCGTATCGAAAGTCTCCAAGAGGAAATACAAGATTCTTGCAAAATGTCATTCTGTGTCCACTGGTGATTGACAAAACGTAAATACATGGAAAAGGCTACCGATAAAAGGAAACGAGACCTGGGTTAAAGAAAAAATCAATTTTCACCTAAAATACGATGCCCACGGTTGAGCAAAATTCACGAATAAGTTTCGAGCAATCGTGATTCCTATGCACGGGGGAACTGAGGCATAAATAACGATGCAGATGGTGTTCAAAAAAGAAAATTGATTCTCGAGAGGGGCCTAATATCGCGACGAGGTGTTCTAACCGTCCTCACCCACGTCCGCGCCTTTCAACGGCCCGTTCGGTGACATTTTGACGTCTCGAATGCGCGATACCAAACGCGTCGCAGCGTTTACGAAGCTGGAGATAAAAGCATCGAAGGATGGAAAGCTCGAGGCGCGTTGGATGCGTCGAAGAACCTTCCGGCCCCGTCATATATGGTCGGTACGCCTACGGTGGAACGGCTCGCGGCTCCGTCATCGCCAAATATCGAGTAGACAGGGTACAAGCGCGATGGAAAATATGTAAGACGATGTGTCTCTAGCTCTCTATATATAGTAATCCTGAATAATGATCTCCCGGAGCGAACGAGCTCGCCAGCCTCCTCTAATTAACATATTTTTCGTCCTGAGTCACACCGGTGAAAGGACGCCTCTCTTCCCCACCACGAACCCCCGACCAAACATCGCCAGAAAACCATTTTCGCGGTAAATCATCCGATCCCCCTCCTCTCGACAAGCCATTTCAATCTCAGCGAGTTTCGTAACTTCTAATCGATTACTCATTAACCTAATGAATGGACCGTTTTATTAATTTGTCTTTAGAATTAATTCGCCACCTAGTTGGGCAAAATTTGGAGCCCTGCGAAGTCCACGAGATGTTTCATAAATATTTAGGAATATTTATACACTGTACGTTTACGCCCCTAATTCTAATCCAGATCTAATTTTCACGTGCAATTTGAGACTGCCTTTTTAACAAATTCGTTCATATTTTTTAACAGGCACCGGGAAAGAGTTAATTTTCGAAGGTTTCACGCAAGTGTCAATGAGAAAAGATGATCGTAAATAATTTCGATCGCGCCACTCGCGAAATAGACTTATTTTTTAAAAAAGTTCGTTCACCCTCGATCTGTGGAAATGTTACCGAATGTGTTTACTCGGTGGAACTTTGAACGCGGATCGACTCGACGACTTTTTCTTCGCGACTATGAGTCTGCCCATCTCCGATGGACGGACGTTAACGACGATCGACGGCCGTCGATTATTACGCGGACAAAGGCTTGGGCATTTTTCACCACGCGAGGTAAGACGTGATCCGCGACTGCGTGGCGTGTCCTACACGCGGCGCGACCATTCCATTTGTGGGCGGTTCGCTGACATTTCCATGACGCGTTGGCCAATAGACACAGGAATTACGTAAGGGCATTGAAAACTTGCGTTAGGCAGAGCCGATGATACGATGCAACCCTCGAAAAATTTCTATCTCACTCGTACCTTCAAATTCAAACGTTTTCGACCCTACACACATGTGTAACTATCCTCTCGAAATATCGCAAATCGATAATTCATCAACATTTAAAACATAATTAAAATTCTGTCGATTTTGCATTGTACGATCCAATTGTGAGAATCGAGTTGGTTGAAATAAATATTGAATTTTACACGTAAATTTCTAAGCCACACAGTCATAGAGTGTATATCAAGCTTAGTTTTGCAATATTTCAGAATTGATGTTCCCAGAAACAATCCTGAACTATGGATCCATTATTGCTCGCGTATTCGTTTAACGAATGATTTATGGTAGATTATTATTCGGTAATGGATAGCGATAGTACGAATGGGACGGAAAACGACAGCCGAGAAAGTTGATATTCGCTCTACGCATTCTCGACAGGTTGAAAATGAAAATAAAAAACGCAAAGTTCAACGACTAAATAACGATTGCGTCGATTAAAGGATTAGCGAACGCTGACAGCCAGGCTACTGGTCAGTTTGCTTTCACCCCGATTTATCCAGTGACTTTCAGCGAATTTCTGGTTACCGTTAAAATTATGTAACATGTGGCGATAGAATTTTACTAGCCGAACGAAACGTTCAATTACGAAACAACCCCCATTTTTTAGCACCCGTTTGCCAATGCAATCATTTGGTATTTGTATTTTTGTTGATCAAGAATATTTTTATTTAACCCCTTAACGCTCATGCCCGAGTTTGACTGCTTTGAAAAATGATATTTGTTTTCCTTGAAATTATACGTTGGATACAACATTGTAATTAACAAAAATCGCATTTCGATACAGCTTAGAAACAAGTCCAATTACGAAAACTGATCATTCTAAGTCGTTCCTAAAAATATGAGCGTTAAGGGGTTAAAAATTTCCGAATTCGTTGTCTCGTTGATTGAGCTCGCATTGCAATTAATTTTGCAAAAATATAAAAAATTCTTCCGAGTCTCGTAATGCTGTATATCGTTAATTTACGATAGCAATAATGACACGGTTACGTTGTACGCGACTGTTGGCGTTTATAGAATTTATTTAATCGTTTTGGACTAGAATGAAAAGAATTTCGTTCGTCCGGCTTGAATCTAATCAAAGCACTTTCTACGTTTACTCGTACGCCGCGATAATCCTACGAAGATAAAGAAGTAATTACGTTCACGATTACTTTCACTCGTTTCGTACATGTTCGTCGGATTCCATCGACCGTTCGACGAAGCGTGTCCGAGGATCGCGCGTAAAAAACCGTGCACCGATGGCAGAAGTAAAGATCGAGCTTCGAGGGAATCGCGGATCGTACTGGGCCAAGACATTCGCAGAACGTTCGTTCGTAAATCGCATCATCAGGTGTGATTTTTGTCACCAAAAAGTGAAAATTAACAGAGACGAATGCGTCACAATCATTTTCCGACACATCACTTTGCTGCTACTCGAGAATACAACCGTCTGATAAAAATATTATCAAGAATATATCAGTGGATACACGGTGAATTTGTAAAATCGAAAGGACCCCAAAAATAGAAAGTATGGAAAGTTAGGATTGAAACAACGAACGATACATTTTAGAGTATTTTATTTTATTTACATTCTTGTCTCTAGGTACGCCCAATCTTCGATAGTTATACAATCGAGGAATATATGTGAAGTATGTACATTACAGTTCTTCGATTTTGTGAGTGTACTTAAGGAATTAATTCGGAAAATTGTGACCCCTTTGTCTCGGTTAATTGGTAATAGAGATGGCTGTTACTTTCGTGCTGTGTCGCTGAAAAGCTTGTGTAATTTAGGGAAAATTCCAAATGACACTAAGAACGTCACCTACACCAGTGTAACAACATTTCTAAATATCGATAACTTTCAAGAAACGTCAAATAATCGAATCGTCATTTACTAAAATAATACCACGTCTGCGTTTCCATCGAAAAGTAAATTTTCCACGTATTACAAAATGTCCACTTTCGGTCAGCGTCTCGAGCCAGCGCGAACGTTTAAACGTAACTTTCATTTACGCGGAGTCGTAACCAGCTCGAGCCGTTATCGAATCGTCGACCAGGAAAAATCGACCGCGACAATCTCGATCGTCGGTCGAGCAAATCGCGCGATAAACGCTCGCACCTCGAAACGATCCACCAACCACGCACTCCGGTGCACACTCCGGTCGTACAGCAACCGTGGACGAAAAGAGAAACTTCCGGTTTCATCTCCTCCAGCGATTAATGAATATGGCCTCCCGTTTCTGGACCATGAACGACCGATCGAACGCGATTGACTCATGAAAATGCCATACCCCTTCGCGATAGTTCCAGATCCGTCTCGAGGGCGTCGGGACGCCTCTGGAGGATCTCCTGCGTCGATGTTCGTCCTCGTCCTCCTCGCTGTCCTCCTCTTCGTCACCCGCGTCGTAACGCCTGCGTCTTCCAGCGTGGGTGTCCTGCGGGGGACGACGTCGACGACGCCTCTCGACGGTCGTCTCCGGGCTGGAGCGGATCCTGATGATGGTCGCGCCGTTCCTCTCGCGAGTGAGCGACTGATCGTCTTGGAACGAGGCTTCCTGGTCGTTCGCGAACTCCTGGAGACCCGTTTCCGGCGAGGGATCGCGCTCGATCTCCGAGTGGCCCTCGGGATTCGAGCGGAACCTGCCGTTTTCCCGCAGATATTTTACAGCGAAGTGTCTGTTGCTCTCGTGCCAGGACCTGGCGTCGAAATCCTCGGTCCTGGGATCCTCCGGACCCTCTGGATCGGGGTCAGGGGCCCTCTTCGGCGGGGTCAGGGGCCTGGAGTGTCTGTCCGAGCGTTTCTCGAACGAGTCGTGGCTCTTGCTCCTCGCGGACGACCGTCGACGAGTCGACCAGTCCTTATCCTGATCCTCCTCGTCCTGGGTTTGAAAGGACACTGCCCCGAATTCGACGTACCTGCCGTTGGGAGAGTGCCTCTTCCTGGAGTCGTCGAACCCTTTGTACCCGCCGTCAGCTGCGTGGTCCTCGTAGGAGACGCCGGCGAACTCGACGGTCTTCTCTTTGAAGGAGTTCTTTCGTCCCAGGTCGCTCGAGCGTTCCTTGAACGTGATCCTGCTGACTCCAGCCGCGTGTCCTTTCGACGGATTCTTTCGCTCCTCCTCGTCGTCGCGGTTCCTCGACGCGATCCTCCCGTAATCCGAGCCCTCTTTGAAGGAATTCTTCCTGGACGCGTGTTCGGTGTTAGGATCCTTCCCGAAGTACTTCTTCTCGACGTCTCTGGACGAGTTCTTGAAGGAGGCCTTCCTGCCCAGGCTGGGCTCCCTGTCTCTGCTCTTCTTGAAGGAGCTCTTTCTCGTCGCCTGTCGATCGTGATCCTCCAACGATGCTTTCTGTTCGATTCCAGCGTCCCTCCTGGGTTCCAGGAGCGCCCTCTCGTACCTCTGTATCCTCACGTCGAAGTCCTCCGGGTTGCCCTCGTAAGCGTAGCTCCTCCTCTTCGGGCTGTCCTTCCTGCGTGGAAGACCTTCATCCTCCAGCTCTCTGGATCGCCTGCGATGACTTCTCTCCGAGCCGTTGTTCCTCCTCGAGTCCTCGTAACCGTTGAACTTGTCTGCCCTGCGATCGACGGATCGACTCCTACCCGCCTCCTCGTGCTCCGTCTCCCGTATCTTCGATCTACCGGACTCCCGATCGTCCTTCTGGATCCTCGTGCCTCTATCGTTGACACGATCCTCGTGATCGTTCCTCGCGTCCCCGCGACCGACGCTTTTCGACCTGGACCCGTCCTTATCCGGGCTCTGCTCGTCCCGTTCCCTCCTCGACCTCAATTTATCCTCCTCCCTGGTCTTGAACCGCTCGATCATCGCCCTGATCCTACGATCGGGCGATCTACCCTCCACCGCCAGATTCTCGATCTCTCTCAGCAGCTGGTCCCTCTCGTCCGCTCTCTGCGCGTCCTCCCAACCCTCCTTCCTCCTCGATCTGCGCGACTGTTCGCGATCCGCGTCGTTCCTGGACCGACCGTTCGTCAGTCTGGGATCCTCGTAGCGGTCGGTCTGCTTCCTCTGTCCGAGCCTGTCGTCCTGCACGATGTCCTTGAAGTCCCAGGCGCCAAAGTGCTGCCTGCTCTTTTTGTACAACGCGTCCGCGTCCTCGTCCGAGTGGTCCCTGTGGTCGCGACCGTTCCTGCTCGCCTCCTCGTCCCGTGGTCTCGTCATGCCGAAGTGGTAGCGATTCGAGCCGTTCTTGCACGGCCTGGACTGGTCCTCCTCGTCGCGGAAGCGGTCGTTGGCCAGCCTGGCCCCGTCCTTTATCGATGATCCGCGCGGACGGGACATCATCGCACGCGTGCTCGCGTCGTAAACTTTATCGAGGCCTCGGTTCCAGTCTCCTCTTCGCGAACGTTACCGTTTACGGGGTTTTCCCTCCGCACCAAGAAATCACACGGCTCGGATCACATATCGACGATCGACGTCGGCCGGTCAAGGAACTCGACGCGTATCCGTGATACGTGGCGACGAAACCGTTTCGACGTCCCGTCGATCTCGAGCGGCTCGAGATCGCGTCGCGGTGTACGCGGATAACGTTTTGGTGGCTCCTTTGGTCGCGCGAGAACGAGAAGCCGAACCCGGCTTCGACCGAACGAGCGGAGCAGACGACCCTGAAAGTCGTCTGTGGACTTTCACGAACGCGAGCACTTTGCCGGTCGGAGTCACCACGAGAGTGTGCACCGGAGGAGAGCGTGTTCCTCCTCTCCTCCTCCCCCCCTGACGTCCTCCAGTCCTCCCTTCCTCCGGTACCCCGTCCGTGTCCACCTCCCCCCCCCCACCCCCCGAGCGTCGCGATCCGCTCCTTTGCACCGCCGCCTCCTTCTTCGCTTGTCCTCCGTCCTGCGGTCCTCCCCGAGGTGAGGCGGACCACTCGATTCTCCCGTTAATCCGGCTTCCCCCGCGTCCTCCTACTTGATATCAGCCGCGACGCGACCACGTGAGCTGCTACTCGATCGAGTCCGCACGGGATTCTGGGATTCCCGGCTCCCGGGGATGAACAAGCCAGTTCCCCACCAATGGAATTCTCTTTTTCGCTCGAACGTTGATGTTTTTACATCGTTTCTTAATATCGAATACCCGCTGCAATCGAACCGAGACGTTACCAATCTTAACTGATGCAAGTCCAAACACTCAGATATACCACAGAAATTAAAAAATTTCAAATCACTCTGAAAAAATTATTTTTGGTTGCGAGGGGCAATTAAAATCATTTTTGGTGGAGGCACATACCATCGGAATCCTACGCACTTTCGAGAAAAAAATTCAGGAAGGTTGACAAATTTTTCGACGAAATTGAAAAGTTTCAAATCACTCTGAAAAAATTATTTTTGGTTGCGAGGATCAATTATAATCATTTTTGGTGGAGGCGTATACCATCGGAATCCTACGCATTTTCGAGAAAAAAATTCGAGTAGGTGCTGACATTTTTCGGCGAAATTGAGAAGTATCAAATCGTTAAAAAAAAATTATTTCTGGTTGCGAGGGCCAATTACAATCATTTTTGGTGGAGACACATACCATCGGAATCCTACGCATTTTCGAGAAAAAAATTCGAGTAGGTGCTAAAATTTTATGGCGAAATTGAAGAGTTTCAAATCGTTCAAAACAAATTATTTCTGGTTCCAGGAGTCAATTGCAATCATTTTTGGTGAATATACATACCCTCGAATTCCTGCGCAGTTTCGAGAAAAAAACTCATGAATCTGTGAAATTTTTCGACAAAATTAAAAAATTTCAAATCATTCTAAAAAAATTATATTTAGTCACAGGGGTTAATTACAAGCATTTTTGATCATTAGATATACTATCGAAATCCTACGCACTTTCGAGAAAAAAATTCAGGAAGGTGGACAAATTTTTCGACGAAATTGAAAAGTTTCAAATCGTTAAAAAAAAATTATTTTTGGTTGCAGGAGTCAATTACAATCATTTTTGGTGAATATACATACCCTCGAATTCCTACGCACTTTCGAGAAAAAAATTCTTTACCGAGGATACGATGTCTGACCCCGAAATTTCAAGCGTATATTCAAAAAATCATAACTCCTGAACGGATTGGAGGATTTCAAAGTTTCGAAATGCAAACTGCGCGTATTTTAGTGGAGAATATTTAAAAATTCTAAGAATGTTCGAAAAGTTGGTTCTTAACCCCGTAAAGTGAGAGAAACTCCATAACAGTGGTCCAAATACCGTTATTATTCATATGTTGCTGGGATGAGAATAATTTCGTATTTTTGGACCACGAGACGATGCATGATACGAAGATTTGTGTTTGGAACCGAACAAGAAGATCGATCGAACGCACGTGGAGCTTGACAACGCGTGGCACGAGTGTGCAACGAATTTGTCGCGAGTTTGCGAGAGTCGTTTAAGGCTGGAGAACCGTAAATCACGGAACAAAAGAGTCGTAAGAGTTGTAACTCTATGATTTACCGCAATTCGGTTCGGGTTTATTCAAACACACGCCCGGAGGGGTCGGATAAAGTGTTACGAGCACTTCTTTTTCTCAAACTACTATCGACTCACATTTTTGTTCAAATTGTACGCAAGAATCATCTTTTATCAACTATGAGTCGGGTGTAGGACTCATCGAGCAGGAGGAAAACTAAGGAGAGGGAAGACGAGGAAAAAAAGAGATAAAAATGGCCAGACCTTACACGGAAATCTCTTCGATGGTACTCTCTTCGACCAGGGGAACGAACCTGGTCAATGATTCATGGTGCAAAACGAGAATGATAAAAATCACCAAAGCCAGGCTTTTTTCCTCGTTCGTTTTATGCAGAATTGCTTCGAGACGCGGGGACCGACGCTCTGCGTCCCGAAAACGGTCGGTCGCACGATAAAATCGGCAGTGCGCGTCTAATCGTTTCTCGGACGCATGGTCCCTCAGGCGTGGAACAAAGTGTAGCGAAAATATTTCGAGTAATGGAAGAATGACCGCCTTAATCGCGAAATAAAATTACATTTCGCCTTGAACGAATTGATAAATGGTACCTCGTGGATATTGAAGCGGTCATTTTGTAATTCTATCCTGAGTACAAATAAAAACAAATTAACGACTTTGATTAGGTAAATTGAAAATTCATGAAAATAATTACATTGCATGCTGTTTTAAAATCGAAATTGCAATGAAAATTTCATAGAACGTTAGGATAGAGAAAGATTGAAGAAATTACTCATCTTTCGAGGTGAGGTCAACAATTTTTGGCGTGAATTCTGACCCATCATTCGAGGCTCTGGCTTACGAAGCAGAGACCCTCGAGTCCAGTGATCCCTCGAGCGAAAAGCACGTCGATGGTTGCTTAATGAGACAAGATAATTTCGCTTAAACAGGGCGACCGTCTCGTTAGGTCGAAGACAATGCGGACACCGGCATCCAAGGGGTGAAATATCGCGCCGTAACCTACCACCGATTACCGTCCCACGTTACGATTTACAACGGACGCGATTTATCGCGCGTGGGTGGCAGTTCGTCGTAAATCGGACACGGACGGATAATTTTCGATCGGGTTTCAAAAGGGGTCGAGCCGTTTCGAAGGGGTCCCCGTAATAGCAATAGAGATATTCCAGCAAAAAAATCGTCTCTCGGGGTTGAAAAAACCCTCCCAAAATATTACACCTGTCTCCAATCTTTCACGTTTATTTTGTTCACCTTCTACTCGCGAACCATCGAACGCAATTGCTCTCTTTATAGTTCGAGGAATATAAATCTGTGCGTTTTTGGATTCTCTTCAAAAAAGTATCAGGGATTCGATATCGAAAATCGATTGATTACGGATTCCAGTTACGAATTCACATGAAAGCGACGCGTGGCGAGGCAGCTGATCGTCGAGTCCGTAAGCAGAGTCGTTTCCAAGTACGCGTCAACCGTTTAACTGGTCCACTCCGCGACGTAAACGCTCGCAATTAGGTTCCGCTCTCTGCTAATTGATGAATTTCTAACCGCGACGTCGCGACGACAAAATGGCTCGATAGCGTTTCTTTACCCTTGGAAATCGTTGTTACTGTTATTAAAAATGTGTTACGCGAATAAATTTAATTCTACTTAAGTTATGTCGATCCCGTGGCGATGTTCGACCGACTTTTTCAAAGGATCGTCGTAGAAGAAGATGCAACAAGCGACGGCCTTGATTTCACGTTTGTGCGTACGGAAAGATCGTTCGTGAAATCGATCGCGCGCAGGCTTTAGCCTACATAACCGACTCCGATACGCTTCTCCTCTCTTCGTGTCGGGCTTCCCTCGTTCTCTTTTCTCCGGGAGTCTCAATGCCGTGAGCACTTTTACTCCGCACTCTCAGACACCGACCAAACAAAATTAACGATCGTTCGAATTTTCAAATCTCGCGCCAAAAGTCTCCCGAGATCCTCGCCGCGACCCTGCGCCATTTTTCCACTGTGCACTACATTTCTGCCAAAATACTTATATGAGGATACTATTACGATCTTGGGAACGTTATACTATGTTTATGTTCGTAAAGTTGCTATCAAATTCGAAATTTTTAAATTGATAATCGACAAATTGTGTCACAATGTTTAAAGGGGTAAAGGATTAGGGAGAAGTATTGGAAATGTTTTTATATGTACTAGTTATTATCTTGGGAATGTTATACTATGTTTATATTCGTAAGTTTGTAATGAAATTCGAAATTTATAAATTGATAATTGACAAATTGTGTCATAATGTTTAAAGGGGTAAAGAAATAGGGAGAAGTATTGGAAATGTTTTTATATAAAATACTTATTATCTTGGGAGTGTTATACTATGTTTATGTTCATAAGTTTGCGATCAAATTCGAAATTTTTAAATTAGTAATCGACAAATTAAGCCACAATGTTGGAAGGGCTAAAAAAATAGGGGTAAGCATTGGAAATGTTCTTGTATAAAATACTTATTATCTTGAGAGTGTTATACTATGTTTATGTTCATAAGTTTGCGATCAAATTCGAAATTAAAAAATTAGTAATAAATTGTTTCACAATGTTTGGAGGTGTAAAGGGCGAAGTGTTGGGAATGTTTTCAGAGAGAACGCGTCTGGAACGAGGAGACTTTGTGGAACCTGGAGGTATACAGCCCTGTGTGTGGGTTGCGACAAGGTCCTGTCACAACGCCCCCGCCATTTTGCGCGGAGAGGTCTAACCACACGGTGAACGGGGCCTTACGCGCGTATCGACCTTTTTGCCCGAAATGGTGAGACCGAGGGTATCCTATCGAATCGACGGTTTGCTCTTCGATTATCTGTGTCACGGAGAGCCTCCGCTGCCCCTCGCGAGCAAAATAATCGAACGTTCGAGAGCCTAAGAAG